GAGGCGGGGGGGGGGGGGGGGGGGGGGGGGGGGTGTCGTTCGCCGAGTTAAATGGGAGCTGGAGGTGGACGGAGGGGGCAGTCTTGTTTGCCCATGTAAAGTGCGATCCAGATAATAGCCAGCTCATCAAAGGCGCCAATTACATTCATGACAAAGCGGCGAGGCGCGCCTGCGAGGAAATTAAGTGGTGAGAGGAAAGAAAAGCTTCATATATACCTCCTTTATGCTCGCCTGCACACACACACACACACACACACACACTCACTCTCGGCTCTTTTTCTAGTGCTCCACGTGGAGACTCCCAAGAAACAGTCTCCCATCTAAGCCCTCCTTCACCTTTTCCGCCTGCCCGTCGTTACTATGGCTGCACTTGGGTGAGATTAAAAAGCTTTTACACACGGATAATCTTCCAATGTGCCCAACAACAACAACAACAACAAAATGACACCGCGCCAAAAGGGGGCCACCTCTCCAAATTTAATTTCAATTTGAGGTGTAAATTAGGTCCGAACAATTAATCAAATTCAAATCGGAATCAGAAGAGATGATGTTTCTTCTTACATATACAGATGAATGCATTGCTTTTGTTTGTTAAAAAAAAATACATGGGAAGAGGACCTTGGAAAAATAATCGCATATTAAATCACAGTCAGGAAAAATATTCACAAATGAGCACAAACAGCCTTTAAGTCAAGCGGGTTAAAAGCCGCCACGGAACGTCTTTGAAATGGGATTCAAGGCGAGCGCACAACGACGCAGCCTCCTCAAAGACCAGTGCAGCGCTCGGCTTGATATAGAGCCGCACTTTTGCAAAATGGCAACTTAAAGAGTCACTGAGCAATATCGTCATTCAAATGCTGGCTTTTGAACTTTGCGTCCTAAACAATCCGGACGGTTCTTCTCTTTGGCCCACAGGACACAACCTGCACAATTTTCTTCCCAAAATTTGAAATGCGGACTCGTCAGACCACAGAATACTTTTCTACTTTGCATCAGTAGCATTTCATTTGACATTATTTCCTACATGAAAAAATTGTTTGGTTGTGATGTTTGAAAGATGTGCAAGTCAACGGGCACCACAGCACAGACCATGTTTGACTTTGGAGGTCCCACCGACCTGCACATTAGCAAATCCAGTCGTACAGCCTATATTGCATATTGAACCAAATGAGAGAGCATGTTCCGGCTCTTCTCGCTAACAAATCATTTTGTCTCCATGTAAATTATTCAACAGGATCCGGGGGCCCGCTGGAAACCTGTGCATAATTAAATTGCAATAAAATAACATAAGTACGGACAGGCTGTTGGGAGCTCATGCTAATTGGCTGCTGAGATGTCTCACGCGAGCAGCGTGAATGTGCATGCTGCTGATGTGTGGAGTATAATTGATCAATAATGATCCAAGTATCTCCCAAAGAGCTTCCTTTGTACGTTGAGGTCTGATAACACGTGGATTGGGGAGATTCAAATGTTTCATCATCAAGACGTGTGCACCATCTAGTGTCCACTTGGTGGAAACACAGGTAAAGAAGCTTTTTTTAAAAAAAAATTTTATGTTATGATTATTGTTTGGTTCATTTTCTGTCTTTGGACACATTTACACTCTAAGCAATCCCAGTTGTTTTGCTGTAACACATTTTAGAAGGATGCGTTATTTACTTATGTTATACATTTGATAGCAGATGGCTGTCAGTCATAACACAATACACCCAGTAATCAATCTTTATTCTAAATAGAACATGAGATTCGGTCTTGTCTGCGTGTGCATAAAAGTTTTCAAATGTTTTCAATCCATTGCAGCCTTGCTTTTTGCCGGGAGAGGTCACTGTAAGCGATGCTTCAAGAAATCAACGATGCGCCAAGTAGTTCAACGCTTCACAAAAGCTTAATTTGCCGATACGCGATGACGTCGAGCCCGCTTTTTACGTCAATGGTGATGAAGCGAAAAATTTCACCAAATATACCACTGCTCACCCCGGCCTTTGACTGGATGTCCGCTTGATGTTTTACCTTCAAAAAATACTATCGGGACGTTACATGAATTTTAAAATGAGAGTGCTTATAATTTATGGATTTACGTTGCCATTTTAATTTGTCGGGTATCTGGTTTAGTCGTAGGAACTTTTCTTTAAGGACAATTCGTGTGATCGGACTGTTTATCACTGAACACAACTCGGTGAACTTTAGTGGTAGGAACGCTTCCTTAAGGACAATTCGTGTGATCGGACTGTTTTTCCCTGAGCACAACTCAGTGAACTTTCACCCCTTCCAACCTGGTTGTTTTGGTTGAGCATCTTGGGCTATCCGTGGGGGAACTGGAATTAAACCTAATCTGACAGCGGGGACATTTTCTCAGAATTCACTCGTACACGAGAAAGAATGGCGACAATGGCGCTGTCAAGCACAAATCGGCGCCCCCGCTGAACAGAGATGCTGGATGTAGCCTAATGCTAACGTTCGCTGTCAACCTAGCGGACTTACCTGAGGTGTCAACATGGCGGTGATGGGAAGGGATGTGTAGCACCCACCGACTGGACACACCGCATGTGTTCACATTTTGTTTTCAATACTGGCCTGGATTTTTCAAACAAGCAAATACAACGGATGTGAGTATGTAAACATTGACAAGCTTGTATAGAATGCTTTACAATGGGTTCGAGTCGTCTTTAGTACTTGGCTCCTTTAGATGCAACCAACATTTTTTATTAATTATGACAATGTATTGAGTGACCTGATAAGCTTGACGTCATGTACTTCCGGGATGCAGTGGCCTTCTCAAATGGCACCACGAGTAAACACCCCACTGTTATTTTACAAGGCTGAATGATTGAGAATAGATGCCAATGGCACGAATAATGAGTTTAGCCTTTGTCTGTCGCTGGATTTTGACTACAAGCAAATACAACGGATGTGAGTATGTAAACATTTAGAAGCTTGTATAGAATGCTTTACAATGGATTCGAGTCGTCTTTAGTACTTGACTCCTTTAGATGCAACTAACATTTTTTATTAATTATGACAATGTATTGAGTGACCTGATAAGCTTGACGTCATGTACTTCCGGGATGCAGTGGCCTTCTCAAATGGCCCCGCTAGTGAACACCCCACTGTTATTTTACAAGGCTGAATGATTGAGAATAGATGCCAATGGCACGAATAATGAGTTTAGCCTTTGTCTGTCGCTGGATTTTGACTTTGTGAGGTGTTAGCATACTGGGGCAGACTATATATCTGGTGGTGCCGCCCCAAACACAAGTTTTTTTGTCATCGTTTGCAGTCCACATCAGCCGCAGTCATTCACTTTCCGGCTTCCCGAAAATATCCCGGTGCGCCGACTGTTCACAAACATTATTAAGCAGTTTATCCTTTTGTTCTTACGGGATGCAGTGGCCTTCTCAAATGGCACCACGAGTAAACACCCCACTGTTATTTTACAAGGCTGAATGATTGAGAAAAGACGCCAATGGCACGAATAATGAGTTTAGCCTTCTTGTCTGTCGCTGGAGTTTGACGTTGTGAGGTGTTAGCATACTGGGGCAGACTATATATCTGGTGGTGCCAAGTTTTTTTGTCATCGTTTGCAGTCCACATCAGCCACAGTCATTCACTTTCCGGCTTCCCGGAAATATCCCGGTGCGCCGACTGTTCACAAACATTATTAAGCAGTTTATCCTTTTTAAAATGTTGCTGCAGTGTTGGATTTTTCCATTCCTTGCTTTCAATGGGCGAGGAAAAGCCAGACACGCTGGACTTCGTGAAGGATTTCCAGGAGTATCTGAGCCAGCAGACCCAGCATGTCAACATGATATCGGGCTCCGTCAGCGGCGTTAAGGAGGCCGATGAACTACCGGCCGGTAACGTAGACATTTCTTCTGTTTTCTCAAGAGTTAAACTTGTGATGACAGATCATATAACAGCAATGCCCACCCCATTCATTGTTAGAGCTCTTTACAAATTCACTTTTCTTCAGTCCCAGCTATGTTCGAGACTTTCAAATTGCTGCCTGTATATCCCTCCGTGCGCAGATTGCAGTCAGAACGGGCTGGATCACCCGGCGGTGGACATGTCCCTGGAGGACGGCGCTGGGATTTTGGTGGACGGTTTTGAGAGAACCTTTGACGGCAAACTCAAGTGCCTGTACTGCAGCTACGCCACCCGAGGCACAGCGAGACTCGTCGAGCACATTCGAATGCACACAGGTGGGGGGTTACGGTTGAATTGCACTCCGACTACTGGTTTCGGTCCGGGAAAAAAAAAAAATCTATAGAACCACTTTTTTTCCCCTCAATCCACCAGGAGAGAAACCCCACCGCTGCCACCTGTGCCCGTTCGCCTCGGCCTACGAGCGCCACCTGGAGGCCCACATGCGCTCGCACACGGGCG